ATTGATATGCTAAGGTTATTGAATCTGGTAAACATTGACTACATATCCATTTGGCGGCAAAGTCGTTAGAAATGGCAGCTTTAGGAAAGCAGCAGTCGGTCTGTCACGTCACGAGAGAAGATGCTTGCAAGATGAATGTATATGTCAGAGTTCATTACATCTGAATGAGGCGGGAAGTCAGCATTCTTGCAGCTCTGTTCGTGTGATATATAGGAAGCCACGGTTTAATAAGATGATCATATAGAACGAGAAATATATAATGAGTTGGCGTCTATATTATTATCAAATCAAGGTCGACTTCCACCACCCGAGATGGGAAACCTTAAGAAAACCCCATTTTGTCGTCATTATTCGACATACCATTGGAGTCAATCGTTTTCAGCGGCAGGGACAATTTATATATACATGTATAGGCCTATAGGAAATTTTTGTTTTAAATAGTTAATAGGAACGTTTTACATACGTTCTTCCTTAAAGGGAGGAAATTTTCTTCAATGTTATATGACCATTGAAGCTACTTATAAAAATTTCTTAAATCCAATTAGTGTCGTAAGCATTTGAGATTATCAAAACGGTTATGATGACACATGGTAACCCTGATAAGTCTTTGGAATACATGTACTTTAATTCGAAGCATTGCACGGATGTACAATAAGTACCTTTGATTAAAATAGTATTGTCCTTTTGACTGGTTTCAGTCCCCCATGATTCTGAATCTCCCCCCTGCTTGCCACACCTATCTGAATACTCTTTTCTAGTCTCATCGACGGACCCTTCCTTCCCTCGTCACTCTGCTCCTAAATTACTCTCCTGTCTCACATCTTCTTCCTTTGTTAGACTCTTCCTTGGCTCCAATACCTCTTTCTTTCCTACCCCTTTCTGCTGTCTCCGCTTCATTCATCACTACTGTCTCTTCTTCGTCCCCTCTCCCCCTCGTTTATTGTCTCCTCATATTTTACATCTTCTTTTTCTCTTCGGTCGTTTCAACCTCTCCTTTGTCCCTTTTTTCCCTACTTCCCCCCGACTTTCTTTTTTCACCCCTTGACACTCCTTCGTACCTCTTTAATGGTCATTTTCTGTACACTATCTGCTTCGGGTTTTTTTGAGCGGTTTCGCAGTTTATGATATTTCCTATGATATGTTAAAATTTGTCACGACAAATAAAATTGTGAATTTTCATCATAATGTTTTCCTAATCTAGTATTATTTAGCAACGCTCGATGGTCTCTCCAAAGAACTATGGATCATTTCGTCTAGAATTAATTAGATCCATGGTATCTTATTTTACAATGTGATTATTTATTTTGACGTCATTTGGCTCGATCAAGAGTCATATTAAATGCGAATGAAAATTTCAGTCGATTTAACAAAACTGAAAGTTGGTCTGGAAGTTGTTTATCAAATTTTTCAATGTAATAAACTATAATTCCAATGTAAGAAAACCTCTTTGTCCTTGATACACTTTCAAATGCTATAACCTCTTTTCAACAGCCGAATAATAGTCGACCTACAGAGTTGCAAGACTACCTTGAAAAGTTCAAAGTTCATCGATGATATTATACACCTTATTATAACTGATCAAATTAGAAAGAAGAAGTAAAAGGTAAGGTTGGCCCAGTGACATTTTATATTTTGGCACTGGGTGTAATCTATAGTACTCTCAACCTGACCAGGCATCTGGATTAATCGTCTTGACTTTTTAATATGGAGAATCGCCTAATCGCATGTATTCATTATAATAATTATTCCTTACGTCCTTCTGGCTTGACATCAACCGCTTCCAGCTAATTTATATTTTTTTGCATTTAGCTGCATTGATAAAATCGATTAGTCAAATATTCGAATACTTTCGTTACATATCTATATAATTTAAATCAACTTCCCAATCCGTTTTATAGCGCTCATTGCAAGTAAGTTGACTACCGGTGATGCCAAAGTCACCTATCATGAACTTTTATCGTAGTTACTGCTTGAGCAGACACAATCACAAATTTCCAAGGCGCATCCGTGGTAAACTCTTGACTCTTGAGCGGTATCCGCCGCAGTCAAATCGTCTAGTTACATAAAATAGAATAACCTACCAAATATTTGACAGGCACAGTATTTGACGTATCTTTTGGCACCAGATGTAACCTAACTGAAGTCTAGATAGTTCTTTCATATTTATTATTCTAGGGAATTCAGTCTTATTTACATTCCCTTCCTCTGTGATCTTCAGAATCAGAACAAACATTCATACAGTCCCGAAAGGCAGTGGCTATACTATTGTTTGAAAAGACAAATGAAGGCAGAAGGTTATCGATGGAATTAGATTGAAAGATACTTTGTAAGTCTTGGATAACGGTTACACACTGAAGATTAAAAAGTATATTCTTCATTTATTTGAATGGTAGACAATAGGTTCTGAACAATATGCATCCACTTCATTAAATGCGTATATGCTTTAGAACAGACTTTTTTACTGAGAACGGTGAAAAGAGTGTTCAAAAGATTTTACCAACACGTCACAACCTCATGTGAAAAAAAAGGGGGGGGGGGTCACAAAAATAAACTTTCAATTTCAAGACCTATTTATTATATAATATCATACATCGTTGTGAAATATACCCAATTATATTGAAATTCCAGCGGTTAAATACATATAATTAGCACCATAACTAATCAATCCCAACGCGAAACAAGAGAAAGAATCAAAATGGCTCTATAAGTAGACAATGGTGAACACGAGATTGTAATGCAAAAAATTCACAACGAAAAAAAATCTTTCTGAAATATATTGATTTTGAAAACAACAACTGTTTTTTTTTAATAAATCTAAATCAGAACCATTATAACGTTGTATCGTTCCATAAACCTTTACATCCATTGCACTACAACTAACAGTATATAGCACTACAAATTTTCATTTTTAGCTAGAGTTACATGTTTTTCGCTTTCCAGAAGTAAATAAAGTTTCAACAAAAAGTTCCACATAGCTTCAATGGGAATTCAACGTAATGTTACAAACAAACATAACAATTTTTAGAGTGTTCCGCAGTATTTCCAAAGCTGGAATGGTAATACAACTTCGTACAAGCAAGACAATTGCGTCAATTAAAAATCTTTCCCAAAGAATGGCATCGAGAGTAAAGGTTGTATAGTAGTGGACTCCTCCAAAGAGTGGTACTGGTACTACAAAAGACATATAATTTGGCCTAATATGGCTTTCTTGTCACAAAATAAAAATCATTCGAACTATTCTTCATATCATTCTAATTATTCTTCAAATCATACAAACTATTCTTCAAATCATACAAACTATTCTTCAAATCATACTAACTATTCTTCAAATCATACAAACTATTCTTCAAATCATACTAACTATTCTTCAAATCATACTAACTTACATACAAACTATTTTTCAAATCATACTAACTATTCTTCAAATCATACTAACTATTCTTCAATAGAATTTGTACAAATCTAAAATCATATAACTCCAAGTAAATATACTGGTTTGAATTCATCTGCATAGGACTACACCTTTAACTATAATAATATCAAATGGTCAGTCATTCAAAACATCCATTGAAACAAATTATATATAAACAATGTAAACGAAATAGAATGATATAAAACAAACATGGAATGGGTTTCTTTATCGACTTTCTAAGGATGATCATAAGTTTAATCTTAACATGTTTTTAGAAATTTGATTGGTCACTACACAGAGATCACGATACGATTGGTTAATATAGCATTAATAATATATGTCAAAACGAGCAGAAAGTAAAATGCAAACTTGTGGATATAACTGGACGACTAAAATAGAGTAATCGCTCTTACATCAACCAAACAAAATGACAAAATGTATACAATTCTATAGAATAGGGTATCTTTATGAAGACTTAAGGGAGCAGGCTCCTACCCTCAATAAAGGTTATTAGACAGCAGCCGGAAAATATGGCTGGACAATGGTAAGGAAAAAGAAGAAAAACATCGTTATCATAGGCAAAATAATGGTTGGCACGATTAGAACTTATTTATAATATCATGGAAAAATATGATATAGGTTAAAATCTAAAAATGTGACCGAGATCAGATAAGTAACATTTGAGAACGACAAATTTGCATCTTGCATAAGATTAATTATTGCTTCAAGAATTTTAAGTCGCGTAGGCTTTACAATTTAAATAAAGATAGCTTGCCAATCAAGGTAACATACACCCACTATCAGCTGTCATCAGGTTTCATCAAGATCGGACAAAGTCTATCGTGAATATCAGGCCTACAAGCAAAATTAGACGCATTAAATCAATTCAAGGGCAATAACTAAAAAACCGTTCATCCAATTATTACCATTTTGAACTTGAGATCTCATCAATTTATACATGCATACCAAGCATCACCGAGATCAGATAAAAACTGCAACCTTTATCATGACTACAAGCCAAATTTGAAGCGAAGAATGCCACTTCTGGTGACTATAAATGGATTTTAGTGATAAAGTTAAATCAGCACAAAACTGATCTGAACACAAAAAGGTCAATATCCAATGAAGGTTTTAAGTGAAAACATTCCTAAATATAGTTCACAAACAATTTCACTCATGACCAAAATATGATAACCTAGGACCAACAAATGTTATTGATATTGAATAAAATGTCATTAACATAGTCCAAAGATGGTTCTCTCATACTTATCGACTTAGGGTCGACCTTTGTGAAAATAATAACCATCAGGGGTCAGATAAGCAAGTGTCGGGCTATAGTTGGCCCAACAACTATTTCAAGGTAACATTATGTTTGTACAAATTATGTATTCTACTACCCCTTTTCAATCATGATCGAGATTGCATCGAATAATTAAACAATCAAAACATTAACAAATTACATATGATATACTGTTTTGTTATTGAGCTACAATGACATCATTCAGTCTTTGGTGTTTTATTGGAACAATCATATTGTGAAAATAAACTCTACAAAGCTTTACAAATTAGTCCTGAAAACGTAAGTTTTTCATGATATCCTACCAATAATCATTGCATCAACAATTTCCCCTTTCTTAATAATAGTTTGACTGTCTGATTTTGGAGGTAACATCAGCAAAGAATTAGCAGAGCTAAGACTCAGTAAACGACTGCTGATTTGGTTCCCAGTGCTAACTGCCAAAGGCAAGGGTTCCCCATCTTCCCACGAGAGAACAGCACGATGATACTCTGGCCTTGCATCTAATCTGACATCTTGAGAGATCCTGGCTTTGATGACTGTTCTCTTAGGGTTTGGTGACCCAATCATCTTATGGTAAGAGGGTATGACATAGAGGTTACATGTGACTAGAGCAGAGACAGGGTTCCCTGGAAGACTGAAAAACAGTTTCTTTTTACCACAATGCTGCATTGTAGCAAATGTGGTAGGTTTTCCTGGTTTCATAAATACCCTGGCAAAATGAATAGTAGCTTTAAAATCTTTCTCAAGAACTTGCTTCACAAAATCCTTCTCGCCCATTGAAACACCACCAGTTGTGACAATCACATCAGCAACTTCCAATGATTTCTTCATGAACTGTAACAATCCATCGGGAGTGTCAGGAGCAATACCAAGATCTCTAGGATTCACACCAAAATCTTTCAGCTGAGACAACAATGCTGTTCTGTTGCTATCTCGAATCTGGCCTTCTTTCAACTCCTGTCCTGGTTCTACTAGTTCATCACCTGTCGACATTACACCAACAACTGGAAGAGCATAACATGAAACCAATGTTACACCAACAGTTGCCAAGAGACCAAGTTCAGCTGGACCCAATCGTTGACCTTTGGAAAGTACTTGTGACCCTTGAGCAATATCTGATCCAACTCGACGAATATCTTGATCAAGCTTTGGTACTAACATCAACTTAATTTCAAGCTCAATTTTACCATCTTCAGAATACTTGGTTAGAACTGTATCCTCAACTTGAATAACAGCATCAGCACCTGGTGGAAGAGGGGCACCTGTATTGATTCTCATGCATATACCAGGACAAACTTTTGACTTTGGCATATCCCCTGCAGTTGAGCCACCAATAACAGTTCGTAGACCATCACCATCAGCAGCAACAACAGCATAACCATCTTTGATGGAAGCAGGAAAAGGAGGAAGAGCATCTTTGGCGAAAATATCTTCGGCTAAATATCTACCCAAGGCCTCAGTGATACTCACAGATTCGGTTTTCATTATTTGAGAATGTTCTAATACTATTTTTAAGGCCTCTGTGACTGAAATAAGAGGATATGGTGACTCTCTTGCACGATAGGCAACTGGTGCTGCATCAACACTGCTTGAAGGTGAATCTCCATAAGAATGACGTTTATCACCATGATTTTTATGATGATGATGACCATGCTGGTGACCTTGTTTACCAGTGGAATGACAATTTTCTTGAGAATGAGTTCGATGATGGTCAGGAGAATGAGAATGATGCGGAGAATGATGACCACCTCGTTCTCCATGTTGGTGCTGGCTTCCTCTCTCACCATGTTGATGATGGTTTCCACGATCACCATGATGGTGATGGTGATGATGATTGCTATGATCTAACTGGGGAACATGATGTTGATAATCATGTGTGTTTCTGTTTCCAGGTGGATAGCTGATCTGTCTCACACCTTCTTCTTGCAATTCTCTGTGCACTTTCGAAACTTGAGGCCTACAACCACGGAGCAGATCAATCGCATGTGGAATACTCGGTGACACGATTCGTAAACATTCTTCTGAACCTTTTGGGCTTCCTGGCAAATTGATGATTAAAGTTGAACCTCTTATTCCGCAAACTAATCTTGACAACATGGCTAATGGTGTAATTAACAGGGAACCATTTATCATTGCAATAGCCATTCCAGGAGCTTCTTTTTCCATGATATCTTTTGTAGCCTCAGGAGTTACGTCCCTCTCAGTAAAACCAGTGCCTCCGGACGTTAAAACCAGCTCTAATTTTCTCACATCGCACCAATTTTTTAACGTGTCCGTAATCATCTTTCGGTCATCGGGTACCAATTCTTCGTAAGCTACACGACCATGGAATATTTTGTCGCCCTCGATGATTTTTCTGAGGTGCTTGCCCTTTCCTTGATTTCCTCCTTGACTGTCATGATAATATGTGTCACTGATCGTAAGAATTCCAACTTGAATTTCATTGTTCAACCTTTCGTTCGACGCCATGTTTGTTGACATTCGTTGTTCTAAAAATAGATTTATACGGATTATAAATGGAATAGAGACTGTCTTATCAGACTTGAGACCACTCACATAGATCTGAACTCCTTATTTTCGACAAACACTTATCTACTATTATGAGCAATGATATTATGATATATAAAATGAAATAAAACTGTTATTTCGCACATGATTGATATAGACAGTTTATACTGGTGAACAAAAACCTGTAAAATGTGGCTGACTTTTTGTTTACTTTGGCAACTGAATAAATAGACCTAGTTCTCATATCAAACAAAACTCAGGTCGTTTTAATCTAAATTTGAAAAAAAATTAGGTTTTAAATATCGGTCATGAAAACAAGGATATTGGTAATAAGCTTTATTGGTACTTAGTAATATTAAATGCTGGTAGAGTTAATATCCAGTTTTGCGAATACTACTTTGTGGAATCGTCAGCTTAAGTTTATGGGGCTTTTTTTTTTCTTTGGGGGGCGGGGGGAGAGATAAGATTATGTTAAGAATTTACACATCAGATTTAGGAATAATAAAGCTTCTCCCTTTCTGACAACGTCAACTTAAAACCATGGCAATGGTATTCCACAGGATTCTCAATACACATAAATATACATTTTACCTACAACGAGAAAGGTGAGAGAAGGAGCTTATTCCTGTATTTGATGCGTTCATTCGTCTTGTCGAGATTCGATGTATTCAGATATCTTTTCACTGAGAATTTTACATTTCATATCGTAACTAAAAGGTAGCCTATAAATATCTGATTCTACCCAAATAAATCTATGTCAGCAGGTTACTAGAATCTTTCTAAAAATAAATCTAAGAAAGAAATTCAAAACCTCTCTGACTCGTAACTTGAATGTTAAAAATACTAAACATAGAAATGCAAATTAAACATTACTGGTGTGGAACAATCGTTAACTTATTTATCCAGTTATGATATTCTTATTCTTTTCGTGTTGGATTAAGTAAATAACCTCCCCCATTTACTACAGTGTATGCTTGTGTCGCTGTGCCTATAAATTCATAGGCCTACATGTAACCAATATGGTTCACAATAATTCCCTTATATAACTAAATATTTAATAATTTACAACTCGTTCTCATTATCCATGCCAACAAAACATGTAAATCGTCGTTCTTTACTGTGACGTCATTGATTGAAAGGGTTATCGACTCGTGACTTTGGCGCCAAAATGTGCACGTGCTTTTACGTCATAGTTAATGTTTATTATTGCACGAGCTGTCTTTTAAAAATATTTTAGCACAGGTGAGGAACACCTCATTACAAATAAAAAAACATAAAATCTGAGCGCATTTGGTATAGAAAATACGTCACTGTTAGTTTTGGCCTAATCTTAAAGGAACAGGAATAGATTGTGTTTTTGTACCAGTAGCTTAATTGGGTCATTTGGCTGAGAACTATACAACAAGGTTATTGATACCATTATTCGTTAGTTGCATTGCATGGCAATTTAATATATTCCAATAGATCACAAGAGTTGCATAATACAACTCAAAGTTCAAGACTATAATAATGACTAGAACACACAGGCGCCTTTACTTAAAACATGCTGTTAAACAAATTTGTTGAGTAAAACAAATTACATGAGAAGTTCTACTTACGATAAAAAAAAATTTCTACAATTAAAAAAAAAAGGAAAAGGTCAAAGTCAAATTAGCCTACTCAAATATTATCATTGATCCAATTCTATACGAATACAATAGCCTACAGAATACACAATCCTCCACAAAAAATAAGGCTCCGATATTGCTTGATCAAAATGCGGAAATGGAGCCTGGCGTTGGTGTAACAAATGTTACTAAGTAATGTAACTGTAATGAATGTAGGTAGAATGTAGAATGTGTATTAAATAAACATGTCAATTTTACTAATACCTCTCTATAATAAACAACTCTTCTTTTAAATCAACATTTTATTCATGTACAAATCTACATAAAGTACAATCGTCCAATAACGAGGCAATATAAAATTTTTACTATCAGAAGAGATAGATAGCATACATAATGTTTGAGTTTCATGTCTTGCCAATTTTATTATATTTCTTACAGATGTTCATCGGCTTATCTATTTTTATCCTAAAAATTTGACTCCAAAGCATACGCTCCTTTGTTTTAAGTACAGACCCGAAGACCTTCCTTTCTACATTGGAGGGAGAGGATCTTAAACCGGAAGTATCTAACCATGTACTCTCCGTCTATGATATTCTTGTGGGGCAACAGAATTAAACTAAGATTATTCAGGAACAGTAGGCCTACTTCCGAAATTTCCGAACTACGATTTGGTATATTCGACATACATAATCCCTTCAGAGTATGAGTCGTTTCCTGTCTGTTCATTTCGAATGTTATAATTTACTCTTAGATATCAAACAAAATAAAGTAACATTTCAACCAGATTATTATCTTAGACACCATTCTTAAAACAAAACTCTGGCAATCTCGTTTTGTTTCAATTAACTGAGAACGTCGCAAATTCCACCATATTACGGTCTCTATTCCATTAACATGTTTTTAGAAACCAGAACACCTAACAAAACACCAATCTCCGTCTATGGTACCTGATATTAAAATAAAGTTCTAAATCAACCAGGATTGCCATATGGACAGTATTTATTATAATACTGTTTATATAACAGTTAGGGTGAAAATTACTGTTATAATATCACCAATTTATCACCTCATTTCTGACCAAAGCATTCTTGCTTTCTATGTTAGAGAGTTTCCATTTGGTTAGTGTTTCTCTTAAAATTACATCATAATGTAGCATATACAGTACAGATACATCTCCTTTATTGGAAATTCCCCTTGAAATGCTCATTATATTTCAACATCGTTTTAACATCAATTAGCTGTAAATTCCTAGTAGCCTAGAGATCTAGCTAAGATGAAAATTGATTTTTTTTTCAAATCACAAACTAACAGTTATAATGTGTAGGTGACGTTTTGACTGCAGGTAAGCCTAAGATGAGAAAATATTTGTTACAATAGTGAAATTTTGCTAAAATTACGAGTGTTCTCGTAGTGCACAGTTAAAATTATAAATAGACTTTACACTTAAATAGGGGGAAAGATAGTTGCCACCCAATTAAGTGTAGATTAACACCGGTCTATTGGTAAGCTGTTTCACTCTTTTAGGTGCTACGTTATACTTAATAAAGTGTATTATACACACCACGGTGGATCTAACTAAAACGCTACACTATACTTCCTGGTCACTCTAATTAGCGGTGTTAGTAATATAAGAGGGTCCAAAATTACGGTGTACGCTTTACACTGTAAAAGTGTAAATATGCACCAAAATAGCACTGAGAGAGAAATTTATTTTTTCAGTAAATAAACGAAATTACAAAGCATGCATATTATAATTTTGTCTACTGGCTGAAAATATGACATCACATATAAGACAAACACACCATTTTCAAATTCAAAAATAATATTTCAAAAACTCTGCACAGGTTAAATGTGTGAATATATAAAACACAAATCTAGATGCCGTATACATGCCATTATTTATTGATCTTGTTTGTAGAATCCTCAATCAAAATAATTTAGACTTTGCTTTGCTCTGATCTAGCTATCCTTGTCGGTGCCAGATTAAAATGGTGACTGGGTGTATCACGTGAACAGATTGACATACTGGAAAGATTTCAAAATTACTCCGCAAATTATGAGCTAAGAACAACACTTTGAGACCTTTTGAGTTCACTTTACGCTGATAATGGCGCTCATGTAACACCCTTAAATAGTCAATTATCTCTGTTACACTGTAATAGTGTTACTACCTTCTGCAATGAGTAACACTCTACCAGACGAGTGTAAAACTTGCACCGTACCCGTAATTTTAACAGTGTAGTGTATCAGCAATTTTAAATTGTGATACATCTGAATATTGTATAACAAATGTATCCAATTGGCAACAGTATATACATGTAAAGATAAAGTTATGTAATCGGGTCAAAGAACATCTGAGGATTGAGGCGGAATTCCTTGACACTAGTGCCTAGACTAATGAGTCAAGTCTCTTGATCGCAGAGAGGCACTTTTAACTCTGAACTTGGAACTTATTATCTATTTTGAAAGGTTTGAGGTTATGTTTGAATAAGGCGAATCTAAATGTATATTAATTAGAAAGAAAATAATCTAAAATAGTTTAAGTTTCAAAAGGTACACACAAGTTAATGACGTTAATTGAAAAATAATAAACGTCAATGGCTAATTCGCTAACGTCACCTGGCACTTAGTACACAATAAGTTATGAGCGAGTTGGCATAAATTGAGCGAGGAAATGATGTAGTAACAAAACAAACTGCTCGCGGTAATGTCAGTACCTGGTGACCATAGCAACCTATACCTTTATCAAGACTGAATCTGGTTTCTTCTGATTGAAGAGTACCTGTGTTTTCAATCAGCAATAAAGAAAAGAGAAGAAATAGACCGAATACCACTTCAGGCCACTTACATAAATAGATAATGTTTCCTGAAACAGTCTTAAGTAATAGTATATTTCTGATGCTATGCATATTAAGAAGAAAATATGTCCAGAAAACCTACAATAGCGTAGATTTAAAACCAATTTTGCCTTTGAAAATCTACAGCGAACTATAAAATTGTTCACTCTTTTGATCCTTAGTCATATTTTGGCAAAGTGGTGTACAAATGTTGGAAAAATAACAAACATCTTGAAGGTGCCAATGATGATCCGATGTATGTTGCACGTATAACTATAAGCCTATAGTTCTGAGTTAGGGCTGACCGAAATACATTGCCTGAAACTATGATGTCAACTTAACCACCTTTCATCAGATAGTTGATGATATCATGGACTCATTGGTGTTGAGAAATGTTCCCGTTGGCAGTGGAATGTATTATCTTGACAAGTAACCACTTCATAATAACCTTTACCGACCTGGATGCCGATTCTCCACTGACCTAGTCTTGGAGTGTGTTGTACTGGACGGAGCGATG